GATAAGATAACGAACTTTTCCTAATCTAATCTTATGCTCACCTTCTTTTTTAATAATTTGCTTCACTTTCTTAAGAACATCTTCCCTTCCCATCTTATGGAAACAATCCATGAAGTCCTTCAAAAGAATGGGTTTCTTGCTGGTTGTGTAAAGGTATCGCACCAATGCAACAGTTGGGTTATAATCACTGTACATTGCAAACCTTTGATAAATATCACGAGGAACTCCCAAGTTTTGAGCAAGTTTTTCCCAGTTGCCTAATGGCTTACTTGCTGAATCAAGTTCTTGTGCAATATCATCCATAACATGATCAGAACACGAGTCTGTGATGACTCTAGACACTTTGTCTTCACTTTTATAAGCTGTAGATGACAAAATAAAACTTAAATAAATGAATGGAAATTAATGGAAATTAATTATGATAAAATGTAAGAAGTGAGAATTGACACAGAAATCGCTCTTAGGCCCCGTCCACACGTATCGGCAAATTTGTGTATCCATCTCCGGAAATTTTTGAAAATGGTCTCCAGTGTGGAAATTTTCAAATGCGCTCTGAATACGGATATGTGTGGACGGTCGTATCCACAAATTTTCAAATACGCTGACTTAAACATATTTTGCGCATGCTCAATGAGAAAAACTATCCATCAAAGGGACTAGGCACTAGCGTGCATCAGGGCGGATCAAGAAAATTCCGGATACGTGTGGACAGTGAAAACAATTCGAAAACGATTCGAAAACAATTCAAATACGCTGCGTGTGGACGCGAACATTTTCGTATCCGCAAAGAAAAATTTGCAGATACAAAAATTTGCGGAAACGTGTGGACGGGGCCTTAATTTGACTTTTTCAGAAAGAAAAATACAAATGATAAAAATCTATAATTTTTTTTAATGAAACCAAGTTTCAATGCTTGAATTTAAGTAACATTTGATCTAAAACTACAAACAGGCCTATCATGAACCACAATAATAAATACCAAGTACTTACTTTGAAAAACCATCAATTGAATATCAATTCTTTTCATCTCTTCCAAGGCACTTGTGAGTTCTTTCACTGATAACTCTGGTCTTGTTGCTTTCAGGAACTCAAACAGCTTGACAGTTGGACTGTACTCTGAGTAAAGTCTACACTGACATATAACATCCTTCTCAATTTTCATCTGCTCAGCAAAGTGTAACCAGCACTTTATATGAGGGAATTCTCTGTCAAGACATTTTGACAGTTTCTCAAGTGCAGAATGGTTATCATTTAGGCACTTGATAAGAATACCTACAAGATGAATGAAACGAATTCAATGAGTATTGTGGGAGTATTATGGAAGGGGAGACTATATAAGAGGATTTTACAATTTTTGGGTTGGCTCCCCATTTGAACATAAGATATTTTCAGTGACTCCATCCCCCCAAACTGCAGACTCTTAGTAGACTAATAATCATATTCAAAGAAATACTTTTGATAGCCACCATTAAATGTTACCAGTGAAAATGGCTGCCCCCTTCTAATCCCAAACATGATACCCTCCCCCCATAAATTATGAATGCTCTTCCTATAGACCCCTTGCAGCACTTTGGAATGCAGCAGCATCTAGAGGACAAAAAAATAGGTTCCAATTCTCATGAGATTGGAATTCTTTTGTTTTGTTGGAGCTGCTTTGACGTCACATGCAAGGCGTCCTATGTAAGTGCCCCAAATCTCAATCATCAACAAGATTTTAAAGCTGAGAGGGAAAACCAAAGATGAAATGGAGAAAAGCTTCATTTGTTCGTGCTTAAAGCGATTTATTATTACTTAAGTTGTTGACTAAACCGTTTGAAGGCGTAATGCTAAAATAGAAAATAAACTGGTAATAATCAGGTAGTAACTCACTCATCTTTGGTGGCATATTTTAAGAAGGTAGTGTCGTAGTTGTCTTCTTCCAGTCAGCTAGACTTCAGGTGGATTCTTCTTGTAAACCTCTTCTGTATAAAGCTTCATTGGTTATGTTCGAGTATGTCGTTCACCAGAAGTGAAAGTGATAGATAATAGCTACATTTTGATCTCAAACATAGCTATGTCCCAAGTAAAGATAAGCCCATCAAGTGCAAAATTACCAAATCTTGGAAACTAACGTCATTGAGCATGAGTTTCCTTTAGCTAATGGAGGAATTTTTCAACCGAAATGAGTGGAATGGCTAAGAAGCTCTAGTAGGAAGAACGACATATACTCAATTGAAGAAAATTCTTGGAAAAGAAGAAAGGAAAGCTGTCCCCAGTCTCCCTTGCTTCTATTTTCAAAAAGTCCCTACCCCCACCCCCACTAAACCTATTAGTTATCTCTGTGACAAAACAGCACGCGATCGAAAACGATTAACAAAAAGCTCACTATTTTGTAGTAGTCAGAGAAGAATTTTCTTTTTTTTATTACTTCAACTTATCAGAGGCTATCCAAGACGGAAATACAAATTAACCATATATCTCGTTTCACCTAGTCCCGGAAGCGCCTCACAGCGGCTGCGCAGGAGTTGAAAATAAAAATAAACAAAGAAGAGGTATTGTCATACATGAGCCAGCATTCCCAGTAAAGAAGATAGTTTCAATTTCCCAATTCCAATGCTATCTACTATAAAAACTAGGATTGAACAACTAAAAAGATCGAATAGTCAAGAGAAATAAAACTTTGATAGCGTTGATTTCGTGGAAACGCCGAGGAGCGTCTTCCTGTTTGTGGTGGACAAGGGACCGTTCATTTTTCATCAGGGAGGGGGGAGGGGGTGATGGAATTCCAGCAAGAGCCCATACAAGAAAAACTAGCCCCCCTCTATATTGCTGTTGACATCTGCTGCCCCCCTCATGTTCTATACCTGAGTTTATGACCCCCCTCCCCCTCAATATAAAAAGCCCTTTCTCTCAAAGTTGTGTATTTAATAGTACTGTTAATAAAGTCACTCTGACTAGTTTGCATTCCAATTTGCTGCAATATTTATCTAAATAATAATTTGGAATGCAAATAATTTAAAAATACAGATAATCAGAATTTTCACATCTGTTGACAGTTCTTCCTGAACGATGAGTTACATGTGGAGGACTTTCATGGTCACCATCCTGGCCAATGACAGCAAGCACAATGTTATCATGTTCATCTAAGTCCTCTTCGTCAGATGCTGCACTGTCTGTTTCTATTTCGTCCTCTTCATCTGTTTCCTCTTCATATATTTCCTGTTCCTCATCCATTTCCTCTAATTCTTTATGTACTTCTTTATCTTCAAGTTGGCATTCTTTACCCTAGTGTTGCTTGATTCTTTCAATTTTCTCTTGCTTCCGCATCTTGATCAATCAATCAATCAATCAATCATCCTTTATTTATAAACGATAATGCCAACAGAAAAACTGGTTTACATGACAGTCGTGAATATATATAACTAAGACAAGTAACTAAGATATAATATTAATGTATAATATAAAATATTCTAATAAAATAAAATAATCAAAAAAACTAGAGGTAAGGTCAGAGCATGCTAGTTGAGATTAAATCTGCTGAAACAGCATTTTTGAAAGATGTAAAACTTGCTTGATTTCTAGCAGTATGAGGAAGATTGTTCCATAGTTTAGCACCCCTGTAAGTTAAACTCCTCTTTCCATACTCAGTATTAAATCTTTTGATAAAAAGTTTCGATGTTGAGCCTCTAAGATTGTGTGATGTCGTTTCCGATAGCAAACTAAACAAATTTGAAAGATATTCAGGGGCTTGGTTGTTCATGCATTTATGCATTAAATTTGCCAACAGTAAGGTTCTTCTAATATGGAGTGGGTACCAACCTAGAGACTTCAGAACATCTGTAGATCTGATGTCATAAGTGGCACCAGTGATGATACGAGCAGCTCTGTTTTGTAGCCTTTGTAACTTATCTGCTAAAACCTTATTTAGATCACTCCTAACCTCAGAGAGCAGTAATCGAAATGAGGCACTATTAAAGCATTATAGATTTGGATTAGAATGTCTTGTGTAACAAAGGGTTTAGCACGTCTTAAAACACTTAAGCCTGGTTTAACTCTCTTAATAATTAGGTCAATGTGATCACTCCAATTTAATTTTTTGTCCAATATTACTTCAAGAGATTAAATTTTATTACTTGGAGAAATAACATGTGACTATTAACGATGATCTATTTGCTATCAACCAATTATTCAGAGATGAAAGATTCATTTAACTTATCATTTAAGTCATCAACATTCTCACTTGCAGTGCATAATTGGGTGTCATCGACATACAAACTTGCATTTGTAGGACGAAGGCACTTCGGAAGATCATTAATATATATTAAAAACAAAAGGGGTCCCAAAACAGACCCTTGAGGAACGCCATATTTTAATTTAGTTGGTGAGGTGATGACAAATAAGATGTGAAGAAGTCTAGAGCTTTGTCGCAAACACCAAGGGCTGATAGTTTTAGAGTAAGGATACGATGATCCACAGAATCAAAAGCTTTCCTTAGATCTACCTGAATAACACCATTTGCAAGCCCATTGTCAATATTTTGAAGCCAGTCGTTAATCTGACTTATCAGACAAGTAGCAGTCGAGTGGCCAGGACGAAAACCTGATTGTATTGGATGTAGAAGTTTTATTTTTAGTAAAATATCTATATAACTGCTGAAAAAGAATTTTTTCAAAAATCTTGCTGATGAGGGGAAGAACGGAAATGGGACGATAATTATTCATGTCAGAATGACTACCGCCTTTGTAAACAAGAGTAACTTTAGCAACTTTCCAGTTACTAACAAGAAAAGCCAATTGTGGAGCAATTATATTGCTACATTCTTTTAAGACCAATAGCTTTATTGTTATCGAGTCCATTTAGAACTTCATTAACCTGCTCTTCCTTTATTAATTTAAAAAAGAATCTGTGTTCAGAACATTCAATAAAGTCCTGAGGTGAGGCTGAGCTAAAGGGCACTTGTTCAGCCAACTTTGAGCCAATAGCCGAAAAATAGCTATTAAATAACTCAGCAATTTTACCTTTGTCTGTAACTTCAGTTTCATCTATTTTAATCATTTTGACATTACATGATTTAGGTTTGGCAAAGATTATATCATTAGAGAGTTTTAGATTTACGTTCACGGCAAACATGAAACGTCAGTTGACCATTAAAAAATCATTTTAAATTACTGAAAAAGAATCGCAAAAAAGTCCAAGTAGTAGAAAACCAAAAGAATATTTGCGCCTGGTGAGAAGGTTTGCAAAAGGTAAAGTAAAATACAGGAAAACTATGAAAACGTGGTCACGTTTGCCGTTTGTGGGGAGAAAAAATGTCGATCTAAAACTCTCTATTAATAATTTTCCAGGTCTTTTTTGGATTGCCTGTACCATCGCTGATACTTTGTTTATAATATCGGGATTTGGCATGTCGAATTTCAGAAGTTACCTCATTTCTCAATGATTTATAACTTTGCCAATCACCAGGATCAAGAGAACTTGCAGACCTACGTTAATAATAATCTCTCGCATGCATCAGAGACTTGATACGATTATTAAGCCAAGGAATTCTTTTGTTTCGAACTCTTTTTTTCATGACAGGTGCATGAGAATCAAAGATTTCAGAAAAGACATTATGCCATTTTGCCCAAGCGACATTGGGATCGCGACAGCTACAGACCTCATCCCATATTACTTGCTTAAGGCATGTTTGAAAATGATTTAAATCAAAGCTCTTAAGATTTCTGTAAAAAATCTTCTTATGACCAGCTGTAGGCATAACATTAATTTTCCTAATGCAATAAATCAAATAATGATCACTATTACCACAATGGATCACTCCTGATTCGAACATTCTCTCCGGATAGTTTGTGGGCACGAGATCAATGATCGAACTACTCCTTTGAGTGACTCTAGTCGGTTCAGTGATTAACTGCTCAAAATCATAAAGAGAATTGAGAAAGTTAATTGAAGCAACGTTGTTATCGGTAACGCTGCTTGAGAAATCACAATTTAAATCACCTTAAATTATAATTTCTTTTCCTTCATCATCGGCTCTGGATAGAAATTCTTCAAATCTATTCATGGCCACTGATATTCGATTGCGGGGGCCTGTACTATGTACATATTGAAAAAATACATATTGTTCCCAGCTCATTGGGACATAAGTCATGTCTAACAGAATAAATTAAAGTATCATTGATAAATATGGCGACTCCACCTCCATGCCTATTCCTGTCTTTTCTTATGAGACAATAGCCCTCAACATACATGCTTGAATCACTAATAGTGTCATCCAATTTACATTCATTAATTATAAGAATATCAAAAGGCTTATTCAGCAGAAGGAGTCTCAATGGATCAATATGCTTCGGAAGACTATTCACATTTAGGGCAGCTATCTTTAGGYCTTTGCTACGTATAAGCCTATTAATTATATCATTATAGTTATCATCAATATCATTATGGTAGCAAGCACTGACCTTACCTTCTAATGGAATTCAATGCGTACTAATAAAATTTGTAAAATTATTCAATAATTTCTTCGTTCCTGTTTCAGTAAGATGAAGTCCATCTTTATTAAGATCTTGTATGTATCATTTTTGACGTCCAATAGGCACGACCCTCATCTTGGTGAAGCAACTCTAAGGCATCTTTTACGACCACGTGTTTACCCCACCCACACCTACCCAAGCTATGAAGACTTTGA